GAGTGTGCTAGCTAATGCATAAATCTGGGAACAAAGCAGGTACTCCTACAGTCCATCCCAAATCCAGAAGGATGGCAAACTGACTCCCAGTTTCCACTTCTTCCAGCCAGGGACCGTCAGTGCTTGTCTCGAGGGGCTGTCCTATCAGTCAATGGGACAACACACGGGGTGTTACATTGCAGCAAGAACATTACATAGATGATAAGGAAGGGAAAGGAAGAGGAAAGGGAATATGTTCAGCACATGCTTTATGTCATGCACTTTGTCTCCAGTATGTTATGGAACTGTCACAAGGACTCTGTGGGTTGGTTGTAGCATTCGTTGTTCACCGATGGGGGAATGAAAAATAAAACAACCTGCACTGAACCTACCGCTGACTCCTGTCATGAGGGTGTGAGCAGCCTCCAAGGTAGAAAGGTGTTCCATGTCTGGAGAAGACAACAGATTCCTTGTTTAAAAAGGAAAAATAAAATGTTAAAAGGACGGGGCGGTTTCTCAGGCTTGGGCGTGACTCAGTCATCACGTTAAATCAGCATCGTCTCCAGAGCTTCAGCCAGTTCCAGGCTGTGGAGAGGTGGGCACCCAGGCCAGGGCTCCCACAGCCTATTCCAGACACTTCTCCTTGGCCCACATAAGGAAGGGGTATGTGAGTGCTTTCCCATCACACCAAAATGTAACTAAGCAGAAAAGATGCACGGCTTGGGCCTGGAAAAACATTTACAACAACCTGACAATGGAATCCATTTGTCCAGGTCTAGCCGGGTGTGGCAGGTGAAGCAAGAGTCCTACCTAATGACACAAGAGCTCCTTTTCATCATTTGTGGTTAGGTTTTCCCCCACCTCCCAGGAGGTGCAGAGAGCATGGGCAGGGGGACTACGCCTGTGGTGCAGGAATGCACTCAGAAGGTGCTGCCCAGGGAGCCCTGCCCTGAGTGTGTGAATCACTCCCAGTTGGAAGGTCATTCCTGGCTGGTTTGCATCTTTTCAGCGTGTTACAAACTGGTAATTCTCTTTCCCAGAATGCATCTCCCCCTTGCCAGAGTCTGGAAATGGGGCCAAAGAATTTGGCATCTTCAAAGCCAAGAACCTTCTTGTTTCTTCGGTCATAGGGGCTTTCTGAGAGCTGACAGAGTTGTGGCTTTGAGGGTGAAATTTGTGTGTCAACTTGGCTAGACTATGGTGACCAGTAGTTTGGTCAAGCTCCAGTCTAGATGTTCCTGTGAAGGTACTTTGTAGATGTGATTAGTATTTACAATCAGTTGGTAATAAATAAAGTAGATTATCCTCAACAACGTGGATGGGCCTTATCAAGTCAGCTGAAGACTTTCACAGTGAAGACTAAGGTTTCCTCACAAGAAGGGATCTTTGCTTAGAGACTGCAACATAGAAATCCTCCCTAACTTTCCAGCCTTCAATCTCAAGACTGCAACATTTCTTGCCTGATCTCCAGCCTGCTTGCTTGCCTTATAGATTTTGAACTTGCCATCTCCCACAGTGGTGTAAGCCAATTCCTTAAAATGATCCTTCTATCTCTCTCCTCCTCCTTGACTCTCCCTAGGTACAGTCACGTAGCACATAATGATGTTTCAATAAACAACTGCATATATGATGATCCTAGAAGATTATAATGGAGCTGCCCTATACAGGTGTACAATGTTTAAATGTTTCATATTGTGTTTATGCTGCTCCTTTCTGTGTTTAGATACATAAACACTTAACATTGTGTTATAATTGCCTACCAGATTCAGTATAGTAACATGCTATACAAGTTTGTAGCCTGGGAGCAACAGGCTATACCATGTGGTCTCTGTGTGTAGTAAACTATGGCATCTAGGGTTTTGTAACTATATAATGTTTACACAATGACAAAACCATCTAATGATATATTTCTCAGAGCATATCACTGTCATTAAGTGACATACTGTAATGTGTAGGTGTGTGGGGTATGTGGGTACATTCATACATGTGCATATGTGGGTGTATATAATATATATATATGTATAATACATATATACTGTTTTCCCTTGGCATCTGTGGGAGATTTGTTTCAGGACCTCCTGCAAATACCAAAATCTATGACTGCTCATGTCTCTGACGTAAGATGGCATAGTATTTGTGTGTAATCTATATACATCCTCTGGTATACTTCAAATTATCTCTGAATTACTTATATCTAATACAATGCAAATACTATGTAAATAGTTGCATTATTTTTTAAAGTTTTAATATTTTTATCATTGTATTGTTATTTTTTATTGTTTTTTTCTCTGAATATTTTTCATCTGCAGCTGGTTGAATCTGCAGTTATATATAATAATTATAGAATCTATAAGAATTATATATAATGTAACAATTACAATAATATATAGGATTGCTATAATACAATGTAATAATATAAAATGTCTATATGAATATCTGAACTACTGAAATATTATAGTTTGGAAACTGTGAAAACTCCCTCAGGACTCTTGAAGTCCTTTAGAACTCTAAAATCTCAAGCATTCCTCATTTGCACATATGAACACTGGAACCCTGCCTTGAGTAAGGCCTATGGTATGGTACCTGGTTCAGGAGCAGGACGTGACTGAAGAGTAGAATCTTAGCCAGTGAGGCTACCCTCTGCAAACTTGCTCAGCTGCCTCCCTATGGGGCCACGGCTCCAGGGAGCTATACAGCCTGCATCTCTGCTTGGCTTCTGGATCTGTCCTTCCAGACTCCTGGTGGAGGTGATGGACTGCCCAAGTGATACTCTTTCTGTATTACTCCTTTTTGCTTTTGTTTCTGTTTTTGTTTTTGAGATGGAGTCTCATTCTGTCACCCAGGCTGGAGTGCTGTGGTGCAATCTCAACTCACTGCAATTTCTACTTCCTGGGCTCCTGCCTCAGCGTCTTGAGTAGCCACCATGCCTAGCTAATTTTTTTTGTATTTTTAGCAGAGACGGGGTTTTGCCATTTTAGCCGGGTTGGTCTAAAACTCCTGACCTCAGATTATCTGCCCACCTTGGCCTCCCAAAGTGCTGGGATTACAGGCCCAAGCCACCGAGCCCAGCCTTGTTTATATATTACTTCTTGAGACACAATTATCTCCGGGTAATCCTGTGTGGCAGTTATCCATCCATCCATCCATCTATCCATCCATCCATCCATCCATCCAACCATCCAACATAGATTTATCCAGCACCTTCCTTCTACCCACTCTTGTTCTGGTTGCTTCTTGGGGAGGGCACATGAATGCACAGATCAGCTATCTTGTAGTTCTGTGGTCTAGAGAGTTCCTACCCTTGAGGCCCACAGAGGGAAATTCTAATCTCTTTTTCCCCAGACAGCCTCAGTGCTACCGACCATCTCCTTGTGTTTCTTCTTGCCTCTCTTTGGATGCAGGAGCATGCTAGCAGCACCGTGGCTGACCACTGTTGCCATTCTTGGCTGCATGTCTTTCTGTTCCATCTTGACAGTTGAGGGCCTAGTAATTCCTCAGGAACCCCCAACTGGGGTTTACAGTCACCCCCTACTTTCCCACTCCTCTCTGGAATTGTGCCTGATGGTAGGAACTAATGTCTATCCATCCCTTTCCCTGAGCCTCAGGCTGTTTTTTCATGGCTTTCTTCCTTTCCTTTTCCCCTCCCCTCCCCTCCCCTCCCCTCCCCTCCCCTTTCCTCCTTTCCTTTCCTTTCCTTTCCTTTCCTTTCCTTTCCTTTCCTTTCCTTTCCTTTCCTTTCCTTTCCTTTCCTTTCCTTTCCTTTCTTTCCTTTCTTTCCCTTCCCCTTTCCCTTCTCTTCCCTTCCCTTTTCCTCCCTTTTCCTTTCCCTTTCCGTTTCCTTCTTTCCTGTTTTTGAGATGGAGTCTCACTCTGTCACCCAGTCTGAGAGTACAGTGATGCATCTCAGCTCACTGCAATCTCCACCTCCTAGGTTGAAGCAGTTCTCTGCCTCAGTCTCCCAAGTAGCTGGGATTACAGTCGCCTGCCACCATGCCAGGCTAATTTTTTTGTATTTTTAGTAGAGACAGGGTTTCACCATCTTGGTCAGGCTGGTCTTGAACTTCTGAACTCGTGATTCACCCACCTTGGGCTCCTTCCAAAGTGCTGGGATTACAGGCATGAGCCACTGCACCCAGCCATGACTGTATTTCTTGAAGATTCCTTTTCTTCCCGTGTGACTCTTTTTGAGGACCAGCTGTAGCCTGGAGACCCACACAGAGCTCTAAGAAGGAGCATCTGGACAGACACATCTGCTATCCCATGAACCTCACTGCTCCCACTTCGCTCTCAGGCCTACGCTCTTGCTGCTCAAATACCACCGTGGCATACCTGCATCCATGGCAGGCGGCACGGACCAGGCTTCCTGGTCCTTTTCTCAGCTTCTGGCTGTAATTTCATGTCTCTCCTTTGGGAAAGAGATTGACATGAAAACCAAAACTAAAATAGTGTAGTAAGTGTCAGGAAGACGCAGCTGTAGTGTTCTGTACGGCCTCCTGAACCTAAGGGGTCAGGGCAGGTCAGGGTCAGCAAAGGCTTGCTAGTGGAGGGGGTGGGTAATATGAGATCTGAGTGGTCAAAAGGAGTCGGAGAGATAAATGGACAGTGAGGAACAGAGTTTTGGGCAGAGTGAACACCCCCTGTGGCAGCACATTGAGATGTGGTCAAAAACCTGGAATCAGTTTGTGTCCTGGGTGGGAGGGATAAAACACTATGGGGCTCATGTCTGTAATCCCAGCACTTTGGGAAGCCAAGGTGGGCAGATCACATGAAGTCAGGAGTTCGAAACCAGCCTGGCCAACATAGTGAAATGCCATCTCTACTAAAAATATAAAAATTACCCTGGCATGGTGGTGTGCACCTCTAATCTCAACTCTTGGAAGGCTGAGGCAAGAGAATTGCTTGAATTGGGAGGCTGAGGTTGCAGTGAGCTGAGATCATGCCATTGCACTCCAGCCTGGGCCACACAGTGAGACTCTGCCTCAAAATAATAATAATAATAATAATAATAATAATAACACTATGGGGCTGTTTCTCGTCCTAGAATACAAAGAGAAGCATCTTAATTAGACATTGTTTTCTCAAAGAAGTGAGGCTTCTCTAGTGATGACACTTTCTGGCACCTGGCATCCTGCCTGCGTGGGGTAAGATGGATACCTTCAAATTACCATTTCTTGTTCCACTCCTGTGATACAATGAGCCAATTCCTGAAAATTTGCATTGTAAAATCATGAAGATACTCTAATTTCAATTCTGTGAACACAGACATAAGGAGGAAAAAAAGCTGGGAAGCACATATGCAAAAGGTGGTCATTGGTTAGGGTGAGTGCTATTTGGTTGATTTAATTCTTGGCTTTATTTTTTGTGTTTTAACTAGCTTTAAATTATATTAAAAAAGAATTATATTTGGGTTATATTCAAACAGCTCCCCTGAAAGATATTCTGGGTCTAATTTCTAGGTCCCAACATAAGATACTCATCCTTCAGATGGAATTAGTCTAGTTCTGTAATATATTAGCAGAGGCTCTATTAGGAAGTGATAAAGCCACATACGAACGTCTCCAGGAATATAGGTGATTTTTCTGCCGATGGCAAGGACTGTTATCCCAGATCAGCCTGATAAATTTGCATTCCTGGCACCCATTAAGGTGTCTTCTTTGCGGTGATTGCTATTTTAGAAAATGGAAGGAAAATTCAGCAACACTGTTTGTGATGTGGCTGCAGAATTCCCTGATGGCTGAGAGGCCCAGAAAGCTGTGTCCAGCATACAATATCCTTTGTTTAAGCATCTGCATCCTTCCTTCAAGCAGGCTGCCAGCAAGGCAGTCATGCCCCTCTCTCACTCAGTTCAGGCAGGAATCGAAGCATAATTTGGCCTCTTTGTCATTTTCAAAAATCAAACCTGCCCAGGGACCAAGTTCCAGCATCAGCTGTTTTTGCTTTATGTTTTATTTGAAGACATTTAATTTTGAGCCCTGTATGTTTTCAATGACATTTTTAATTTTTGGTAGACTGTGTACATGTATAAAATACTCTTCATTTATATAGAGCAGCTTTTTCATTAGCTATCTGACTTTTTTTTTTTAGGATAAAGGCAGATTAATGATCCTAATTAATAACTAAGTGATTATAGCTATTCATTGTTTTAATTATTTTTAAAAAATAGTAATTACATATCAAATATATAAAATTATTACTTTATGTCCAGCTTCATGTCAAGTATTTTACATGTATTTGCTCATCAGGCTTTACTGGAATCTCATAAAGTAGGCAGAGAAACTAATGTCCACTTTATGAATAGAGTCTCAGGAAGGGTAAGTGGCTTGTTCAAGTTCTCATGGCCAAGAAGGTGGGAAGCTGAGATTTTAACCAAGGTATGTTTGGTGTCACATAACATACATAATGTGATATTACATGTATATTGTATATGTATATTTACGTGTGTACATAATTATTTATTACATTATTTATTTATATGTGTTACCCAGACTTCCAAATCACATTTTCTCCTTATCTCTCTTTTTTTATTTTTTCTCTCACTTTTTAAATCTTTTGGTATTTTTGCTCCTTCCGATGGTTGACTAACCCTGCTGTCCTTCATGGGACGTGACCTGAGAGGGCTAAATGTTAAAGCATTGCCCATCTTATGTGGTCTTTCCAGCTCACCTATGCCAAAAGTGGATTGAACTCCTGATCCTGATGCCAGAGGACCTGGGATCACATCTCATTTCTTCTCTTTTCCAGCCTCATATCTTTGGACAAGGCTTTCAGTTTCTCTGAGCCTCAGCTTCCTCATCTCATGTGTTGGCTGAGGGTCACACGAGCTAGTGTCCTGTGTGCTTGCCAAAATCATCATGAGGATTAAACGTGAGGATAGATGTGAAAGCAGTTTATGAGCTTGTAAGTGTAGTTGTCACCCCGTCATGTTCTCTGGGTTGCACGTCCTCTGTGATGAGAGTTTATCTGGGAGGCAGGACAGTAAGGAAAACAGGAATCCCTGCAGCTCCAGCCCTGCAGATGAGCAGGAATTAGAAAGGTCATGTGGGATCCATCAAAACGTCCAGGAGGCAGGATTAGTCATCATCCCAAGGCAGCGGCACTTGTTTGTTTCTATTCCAGGAATTTGTCATCATCACAGTTCCACCACTCCCTGCCTCTGCTTATTCTGAACCCACCATTTCTATTCCTGTCTCTCAGCCTTGTGGCTTTTGCTGCCTCTTACCATTGTCTGTCTCTTGTCTTTTACACAAAGCCTCCTCCCTGAGTTAGTTCTGCCTTTGTTTCTGTTAAGGACCACTGACTCATTCTCTAGGTCTCGCACTTCTACTGCCCAGGGAGAAGGATCAGTTTGCTATCATCAGTGTTGTGCTGGTAAATGTTTAATAAGCAGCTCTCTGTGGGAGGCTGGGTGGGGGTAGGGGAAACTCTGACACCTGTATGTTGGCAATTTCCATAGTACAAATACTCCTACGATAGATGGTTTCAATCTATCAACATAATGTCACCTGGCTCCTCAAATCCTGAAAATGGAAAATTGGATCCCATAAGCCAGCTCCAGCATATCACTCTCACCCCTATCTGCTGCCTCGTAGCTGCTAGTCAACCCAAGGATTGGCTGGTCTTGAACTGGGGTTCCAGCTTGGTCCATTTAGCTGTGACCAAGGTATCAGGATTGCATATTTGACTTCTCTCTGAAAGTCCTGTGGACATAGGAACTTTCCAGTTTATTTGTTTGACTCTCATTTTACAGATGTCTCTGTGACTTTAATAAATTAAGGGGAGAGATAGAGAATGAGGGTAAGTAAATATAAATTAGAAAATGATTAATGCCACAAGAAAGGTGTAAAAAATGTAAAATGAAGGTTCAGAGACAGGAAATGTCACCCTCAAGTTGGTGGGAAACAAGGAAGATTTTATGGAGCAGATAAAATTTTAACAGAGACTTCAAGGATGAAAGGATTTGGCGAGGAAGAAATAGAGCAGAAGGTGTTCAAGACACAAAGAAAAAAAATGTTTGAACAGAAGTGTGGAGTGAGGAAGCATGGAATTGATATGGAGCTAGTGAGCATTTCATTTTGTTGGAGCTGCAAGTTTGTGAAGAGGAAAGGGTGATCCTTTTAGGAAGAAAAGCTGGGCCAGTCATGGTGGCCCATGCCTGTAATCCTAGCACTTTGAGAGGTCACGGTGGGCAAAAAGTTTGAGCTTGGGACTTCAAGACCACCCTGGGCAATATGGTTAAACACCATCTCAATAAAAAATATTATTAAAAATATTATAAATGATATTGTATTAGGTTGGTACAAAAGTTAAGTATGTTTTTTGCAATTATTAATACTTTTAATGGCAAAAACTCACTTACTTTTGCAACAAACTAATACAAAAATTATCCAAGCATGGTGGTGCATATCTGTGGCTACTTGGGAGGCTGAGATTGGAGGATTGCCTGAACCCAGGAAGTTG